TGTGGAAAACCTTTTTCTCACACGTGCTCCCTTAAAAATCATCAAAGAGTTATCATTGGAGAAAGGCCGTACAGCTGCGACAAGTGTGGGAAAAGTTTCAAGCGGAAGTGTATTTTACAAAAACACAGCAAAACTCACACTGGAGAGAAGCCATACAACTGTGAGGAGTGCGGGCAGAGTTTCACCCGCCCGTGCTCTCTGAGGAAACATCAGCGTATCCATACCGGAGAAAGACCGTACAGCTGTGATGAGTGTGGGAAAGCCTTCAGTCGGCAGTTCAGCCTGACATGTCACATGCGAATCCATACAGGAGAAAAACCATACTGGTGTGAGGACTGCGGGCAAACGTTCCGTCACAAGGGCACCTTCAAACAACACCAAGAACAACATCAGAACAGGACAGAGAACTTGGAGCCGGGATCAGCAGAAGTCTCTTTATAAAAGAACCATTTCATGTTTCATGTAGAAGATTTTCAGGTCTTCTTCCTTTTTACTGTCTGCAGTGGAATTCTGTATGAGTTTGTTCTATTGTTCAGAACATCATAAACACATTTGTGTGGTCTGCTTGTTGCAGTGTGCTGCTGTGAGGGGGAAAAAACGCTGAACAACAGAAATGAATAACTTTCTGTTGCACTCTTAAATTAATACTGTGAATAATACCTATGGGAGATTTAAAAACAAACAAACAAACACCCAATTAAAGACGAAAAACTTTTATTTAATGGAGGCACAGAAAATGAGACTGACCAGAACCCACCTCCACAAAATTGCTGTAAAACCAGAGGAGAAGATGTCCTCAGGGATCCACAGACCACCAGGAGCTGCTCACAGTTCTGCATATCGGGCATTTCAGAGCCCCCAATCAAAACCCTTTGCTCCTGTTAGGACGATAAATGGCACACTTCTTCTTTAAGGACCACAAACTTGTGCTTCCTGTAGAAGCTGCCCTGATCCTGCCTTTTTCTGAAGTTATGTTGTTACAGTGCTGAACCACTACCTGGAGAAAAAAAACCCTAAAACGAAGTAAAACTGCATTTATTTTACTTTGTTTTTTCTGCTGCACAGTAAAGTTTGTTTCCTTTTCAGGGCCTGTAAAATGAAATCATTAACCTCATTAATGTTTATTATAATGTTTGTTGACAAAAAAATAAAGGGATGCTAACCAGTCTGGTCCTTTCTGTAAGTTTCAAAGAAAATAACCTAAATATCTAAACATGTCACAGCTCTCTTTGTCATCTGAGTTTTATTGTGTAAAAAATCAGAAAAAAAAATATCTAAAACTAATAAAAACTGACCTGAAATCAGCAAAATGACTAAAAATAAACCAAAAAGATTCAGGTGAATGAGTCTAAATCACAGTGCAGTCAAACATGCAGCTGCTTGAGACTCCACAATTTTATTAACAATTTCAATAATTACAGTGGATCAAGCATGGTGATATTTAAATGGAAAAGCAACAGGACTGGAGTTCATGAAAAATTTAAACTTTTTATTACCAAACAGTGACAAGGCACAGATGTGAAGTTTAGTTTAATAAATGTTCAGGCTCAAACAGGAAAAACAAAACATGGGAACACGTTTATTTACAGTCAAACTCAGCTGATTGTTTCAGGTTAAACTGCTGGGATCCAAACAGAGGCTGATACCTCTGCGTCAATTCACTGTGTGATGATCTGCTTTCATGCTCAGTGCTCATTAAAACTTCAGAGCTTGATTGAT